TCAAATATTGATTTTTTTATTCACTTATTTATCTAACTATCTATTCATTTATTTATTTAGTTTTTCTTTTCAGATCGAATTTTTGTTTTTATTGATTTCAAGGAAGTAGTCTAGTTTCCGTTTCGCACGTGCCCTTAGACGGAAACTAGACAACCATGGTATCCTCCCTCCGTGCTCATCAGTAAGGAAGGGTACCTTTTTTGCCCTACAGTTGGATAAATCCCATAAATGAATTTTTTCCAACTTCAGGAATTTCGAGAAAAGAAACGCCATCACTAATGAGCCAACCCAATGCGTGTCAGCGGTTTTATCCTGCTAGTTAAAAATGGCACGATTTCGTCGTCTCCAGGGAGTAGAAGACGAGATTCCTGGCACTGGCGAGAGTCGACCCCGGAGCGTGGTTGGGGTAAGCGGGCCCTTGCCACCACACCACCACCGCTTCAAATGCTATTAGGTTGGAAGGAAGGTCCTGCGACACTTTGACCAAAATCTTCTTCTCTAAAAGACATCTCCAACTAACGGTAATCACATTAATGACGAGGGCTAGTGTCCACCTTTTGCACAGCTTTTCATTTCCACTCTTATAGAACTACGGCAACTACGATAAAAAGAAGAGGTGCACCTCATTTCCGAGTAGACGTCAATTTTCGGAATTTTTGCTCTTTAAAGGATGCGGTAGTGATCAAACGAGGTGGTAGTTAGATGCTGCTAGTTGTGATCCCTGAAGTGACTCAGTTCCTAAATATAAATTTCGTAGCAAGCACCGCCCATTTCGAGTACGGGTACGTCCCGCCCATTTTAAGGATGTCTGCCCCATTTTATCCACTAACCCCTTGTGACCTTCAGTCCACATGTCCCCGGTGCATATGCTGCTCTGCAAGCAACTCGTGAATTTTTGACTTTTGCCCCTCCCACCTCGACACCTGCTTCGCCCAGGCGTGTCTATCTCACTTCAATGGCCGAGGACTTGCACACCTCTGCTCACCTTTTGCCGGTGTCTGGACTGCTCTGGGAACGTTTCAAAGTCTTTTTCGTTTGTCTTCCGCCCAGCTCTCCTCAACGGGTGTGCCTCGTACTTCTCAACAGGTGACCCACCGCTGACATTAATCCACTTTTTCCAATTGGAGTGCTCTGGAAGCGTTTTACGAGTTTTCAAATTTGCTCCACCCACCTCGATGCAAGCTCCGCACACAACGGATGTGCCTCGCAATTTTCAACCGGTGCCCCATTACTGACATTAATCCACATTTTCCGGTGTTTGGAGTGCTCTGAAAGCGTTTCAAAGTCTTTTTGGCCCCGCCTAGCTCTCCTCAAGCTCCACCCACAACGGTGTATGTACTACTCAACGGCTACCTTTTTGGGACCATAATCCAGTTTTTCACGTCGCCTGTAGTGCTCTAGGACCACTACAGGCGACGTGGAAACGATTTTAAGATTTTGATTCTACGATTTTTTTAATGAATACCTAACGTTTGAGGTCACGCCACCTCCCACTGTGGCGGGTCACAGCACACCGCAGATATGACGGACTCTCCCAGATGTTTGTCTTCGCCATGGACTTTTTGCAATCTCTAAACTCTCTCGGGGACCGAGTTACCGACAACTGGGAAGCACCGCCCACCGCGAGTACGCCCCTCCCATTTTGGGTGTGTCTCCTCCATTTGACGGGTAAACCCTTTGCTAACCTTAATCCACTTTTCCCCCATCTCGGAACTGCCCTAGAGCCGAACTATGAGTTTTTTCAGTGAGACCGCAATTTTCCGACGCATGCCCCGCCCACTGTGGGCGGGGCTTACCATGGGTTACGGTTGCTCTTTACATCTTGTCACATGCCCTACCCATCCCGACCTTGACCCCACCTCTCCAAGTTGTTCTTCTGGTAGAAACGAATTTCCGGACAAACAAACAAAGGAACAAAGGATTGTATAGTGGGTGATGACAATATTAGGTCGTGGCAAAAATAATGACCCTTATCGCACCTGCTATTTTCCACTGATCGTAATTCATTGAAAACTTGGGCAAGTATAGTAGTTCAATATATCGTTCGGAAGCACATTTTCCAAGCTATCGTACAAATTTTTTCCCGTTTCCCTGCCACCATTTCTTGTACGATTTTGGGTCACCCGCGAAGATGCTATCAAGGCGCGAAAACCGACTCATCATGCTTCACGAGTACAAACTCGGCCGTAATGCTGCGGAAGCAGCTAGGAATATCACCAACGCATGGGGCGAAGGTACTACAAATGAGCGCACCACGCGTAGGTGGTTCGACAAATTCCGAAATGGAGACTTCAACCTGGAAGATCAGGAGGGACGCGGTCGGCCATCGGAAGTTAAAGACGACGAATTGAAGGCACAGATAGAAGCCAACCCAAGAGCATCCACAAGGGAAATTGCTGAAGAGCTGGGAGTTGACTTCGGAACTGTAGCACGTCATTTGAAGAAAACTGGGAAGGTAAAAGATCTCGAAGTCTGTTCGTCTCATCTTTTGCGGAACAAAAACGATCCTTTTCTGCAACGCATTGTGACGTGTGACGAAAAATGGATTCAATACGACAATAGACGACGGTCAGGACAGTGGTTGGATCACGACGAAGCTCCTAAACATTTTCCAAAGCCGGAGTTGCACCAAAAAAGGTCATGGTGACTGTTTGGTGGTCTACAGCCGGTTTGATCCACCACAGCTTCCTGGCTCCAGGAGAAACCATCACAGCGGAGAAGTACTGTGAGGAAATCGAAAAAATGCACCAAAAATTGCATCGGATTCAGCCGGCATTAATCAACAGAAAGGGCGCGATCCTACTCCATGACAACGCCCGACCGCATGTTTCATTGATGACAACAAAAAAACTGATGGAGTTGGGATATGAAACTCTCGACCATCCTCCATACTCATCAGACCTTTCCCCTACGGATTATCACTTTTTCAAGCATCTCGAAATTTTCTTACGCGAGAAATGCTTCCGAAACCAAACGACGTAGAAAAGGCATTCAACGATTTCGTCGATTCCAGAACTCCAGAATTTTATGCTGCCGGAATATCTAAACTGCCTTCTCGTTGGCAGAAATGTGTTGATTCTTTTGGTCGTTATTTCGATTGAAAAGCAACACTTTGAAGCGAGTTATGATATTTTAAAATATTTGCTTCAAAACGGTCATTATTTTTGCCACGATTTAATACCAACCAACGCCGCACTCGATCTACGAACATTTCGCTTTCTCATAACATTTAATAATGCCTTTGTCCTGAGGAATCTGCTCGCTACATTTCTTCAGAGTGGAAGAGTGGATTTCCAACAGCCATAATAAACCTTGCTTCTTCCATTTATCTCAACTCTCTTAAAGCTTTCCGGACACCCTAATACAAGTTAGATATAACCAAAGGTAAAGCAATGTGATGACGAAGCATTTATCAGTTAATCGTTCCTCACTAACTCGTAGCTACAGTTATTATTTAGTTTTCGCACTACCACTTGAATGCCTCCCTTATTCTAGCTACACAGATATGAGTGCCAGAGAATGTTTGGTGGTGAGCAGTCTAATGAGTACACCCTTGAGATACCGAGATACCGAAGAATAAATAAAACCTTTCCGAAATTTGGACAAAAATGAAGGAGTAATGACCACTTTTTTCAGAAAGCCCGTTTCATCGAATGGGAGCGTAACGACCAAGTAATGCGCTCAATCCAGGTTAAAGTCCTTTTAACTACACGTATAATCAATAGTTTTCCTTTCCCGTTCACGAAAAAAAAACCGTGTTCATAATAGTTGGTACAGATTCGTCTGTACTGGTTTTATTATGACATTGCGCTTCGATGATGTCGCAGTTCGCGTTCCATGAGTTATACAAGAATGCTAGGTCGTGTGAGCAAGTCATGAGTTTCAGGTGGAACTCATCTGCTCTCACGCTTTGCGGGCAGGAAAGCTGAGGAAGGCCGCTTTTCGAGCCGTATTCAGCCCTCACCTCGGCTTGAAAACATTGGGATTGCTGAGTTCATTGTCGTCTGAGGTCGAGACTCTCTGTACCATCGTGTATTTCTGTGATGTATCGGATATTTCAAAGCGCTTGGCACAAGTGGTGTTGAAGAGCTGTGACAGCATTCGACGACACCATAGCCCTTAAACCAATGATGGCGACGACAACCGCCCGTTCCTCAGCAAGCGCACCCGTTGTCCGGCCTATTAGATCTATTAGACCTCTATGAATCTCAATATCTGCCTCTGCCGAGATATTGAGATTCATTAGAGGTCTAATAGATCGCTCATATAAAAGTGATACTAAAGAACTGACAAACAGTTGATAGAGGTAACGTTCAGCCCGCCACTCTGTGAGAAAACAGGGTCTGAGCACAGTCATTCGGGTGATGGAGCAGAGCAGAAGTGTCCGTGTCTAGAGACTCTCACCAGTGAGAATCGGGGTAATTACATGCCTCCCCCTGAATGGATGTATAATGATCGGTCAGCAAAGTATCGTTCTGAGTAAATAACGAAAAGAAAGCGCAAAAAAATTATTTAAATAAGCCCAAAGTCCACGACTGCTGTCCTCCAGGATGGGGGTGCAAATATCCTCAGTGGCCATGAATCGCGCTGAGGAAAGGTTTCTATGAAAGGTCGTTTCTCTTGAAATTGGGCAAATTTGACGAAAAGCGGTACGGTGCCGATGCACGATTAAATCGCAATTAGCTACGCGACTGAACACACTGCATAACGTTAAGTAAAGAATTTCGGGGCTTCAACTTGCTGCTTCATTGTTACTATCAGGGGACGGAGGATCTTCAGGGTCGAGCTAATTTTCCTCAGTTCCAAGCTTGTCTCTGACAAGAAAGCGTAACTATATAGTAACCCGTAGGTACCATAGACGTGCAGGCGCTGTTGATAGGCTTCATCGTTTGTGGGATTATTCTGTCTGATTTTTTCTGATTCTGTAATATTGTTGCAGATCCTTGGAGTGAAACGGATTCATTCAGGACAAATATCCTCTAGTGAAAGACACCAAGATTATGCTTGGCGTAGTGTGGCCTGACGAGCATGTGGCATTTCCGGACTTTCTTGACCCGACCAATGCCACACAAAAGTGGTGGATTCGGGAAATTGTGAGCTTCCACAAAAAGGTGATGTGCTTTTCATAAGTTCGAGTTGACCACAGAGGACGGAACAATTACCAAGAAAAATAATCCCATACATTCTTTGTTTTACGATGTACGTAAACATTACGAGCAGTTGTGAAGAAACTGACTCGGAAATGTCTGAAACCAGTCGGCGCCCTCGTTGCGCTCATCTTCTCAGGATCACAAGTCATCGCGTCTGTTCCACTTGAAATTTTATGCTAATAGTTGAATGTTTCGCTAATGTGTTTTGTATGCTCTGATAGCAAATTTCGTGCTCTATAACACTGCAATGGAAATCTGTTTTCCATAGCTGTTTACTTTCTGTTAATTTCAGGTTATTAATACGGAATGTCAGGTCGATGAAATCAGCATTCCCGACTTCTTCTCCCTACCGCTTTCCACGGAAGCTTCAAAGCCCCTGGAGCAGCTCAATAGATTCGCCATGGTTTGAGTAAAGCACTTGAGTAACAGATTAATATTAGGACGGCTCACAATTGATTTTGAGAAAAGCAAAACCGACAACGCTGACCTTGCAGACATCCGGTCGACCCATACCTCACGATTTTTTTTGTTTTCCTGATTAAATTTCATACACAGTATTTACAACACTATAAAAAATATAGATGTTTACAATAAACTAGTCAATAATATATTCTCCATTGTTTCTTACAACCTCCTCCCACCGATCAGCCAGCTCAGTCAGTCACCGAGAAGGCATTGAAAAGCTGGCTGATCGGTGGGAGGAGGTTGTAAGAAACAATGGAGAATATATTATTGACTAGTTTATTGTAAACATCTATATTTTTTATAGTGTTGTAAATACTGTGTTGAACAAACCAAAAATCGTGAGGTATGGGTCGACCGGATGTCTGCAAGGTCAGCGTTGTCAGTTTCTTTTCTTAAAATCAACTGTGAGCCGTCCTAATATCAGTATGTAAGTCAATGTTTGACTCAAACCATGTCGAACCTATTGAATTGCTACAGGGGCTTTGAAGGTTCCGTGGAAAGCGGTAGGGAGAAGAAGCTGGGAATGCTGGTTTTCATCGACCTGACATTCCGTATTAATCACCTGAAATTAACAGAAAGTAAACAGCAATGGAAAACAGATTTCCAAATTGTTATAGAGCACGAAATTTGCTATCACAGCGTGCAAAGCACATTAGCGAAACATTCAAGTATTACCATAAAATTTCAAGAGGAACAGATGCGATGACTTGTGATCAGGGCACATCATTGGTTGGGGATTTTTGTGAAGCCATGTACGACGCCCCGCCACCACTTTTTTGGGGGGTTCGGTACGACCTCCCCCCCCTATACCCAAACATATAAGTTGTTCTTCTCGCCTCTCCTTACTCGCCCGCTCTGCCCGAGGAGGAAACTTCAGGTAAGTTATGTATATTGAACCGCGAAATGGAAAGTAACAATCCTGAATGAGGCCCCCCTCGCTTTTTGCATTTCTATCCTAATTCAGAAAAGAGAATAGAAAAGAAAGGCCATTAGGTTTCACCCACCTTCCCTCGAGTCAAAACAAATCTGGTACCTAAATCAATTGCAATTAAAAGGAAAAAAAAAACAGGAATAGCACCATTCCTCCTCTGAGAGCACTCTGGCGGTCCAAAAGAAGAAGATTGCTGGGCGCTCTCTGACGTGTATTCGAGTAAACTAGAAGAAGATAATATTTCGATATTCGAATAAACCGAGAAGAAGATAAATACGAAAGAGTAAATACGAACGAGAGCAAACCAGCCGCAATCAGCTGATTAAAGGCCGAGGTACCGGGGAAAGGGATTCTGGGCAGGACACATGTGAACGCTGAGTTTACAGCAAAAGTGGGTGTCTTTGAAGGGACAATAACTTCCTGAAGAAGTAGACATCAACCTTTCACAAATTTGGAACGTGTTTCGATTGTGTTGAGATTTTTCTCTCTAAAAACGTCTTGAAACTGTTGTCTGAGTTCTCGGTGATTCATGAGATTCTGCGATGGGGATGTTCTTGCGGGAAACTCTCCAGCATGCGCGAGAAAACCGTTTTCCTGCCGTACGGTTTTCAATGACGAGCGTGTTCGACTAGTAGCCTGAAGTAACATGTAGAAGTATCCTGTAAGTAGGAGGCAGGAGCAGGATGTGTGGTTTGTTTGAAGGCCCAATCATGTAACTTTTGGGTAGCGGGATGGCCGCGCGGAAGTGATGGGATGGTGATTGTTTGAGGGTATGTCTTGTCCCGATGCGCCAATGTGGTTCTATAGGATTCAGTGGAGGTTCCTGGCGAGCCTCTCCTACTATGTTTACAGTGTGTTCCCGATGGCGTTATGATGGAGCGTGTCGCCTGATTGACGCCGCCAGAATTCGCCCCACTTGGATTCCGATGAAGGAGACCAACTGCTGGAAAACGTCTGATACGAACGATATGGTAGTCCTGTCGTTTGTCGAAAAAAAACAGGTTGGCTCAGCGCCAAGCGCGATCGCGGACACGCCCCATCATCCGCAGCGAACCAGAGTATGAGTTGTACTGTTTAGTCACTTACGAGATGATGTCGACTTTTTATATTTCCAGTTATTTCAAATTAGTTCGATGAATGAAAGTTTTGTACTATTTTTTTACATATCCGAGTAGTACTACGAAAGCTAAAGCTTCGCTGGTAGAAGTATCAGAACACTGAAGCCGTGCTGGCTTACCCGCACTCATTATTACGTACACCCCCCCTCCCTGGCGGGGCCAATATACGGTATGAATGAATAGCCCCCCCACGTTGGGGATTTCGACCAATCACCGGATTTTGTCCGCTTGTGATCCTGCCCATGTATTGAGCGAGGTTTAAGGTTTGCAAACATTCAAATTTTTTGATTAGCTTCCAAAAGGTCCTAGAGGATTCCCTCGCTGGGAGTTCTAGCTCAGCCTATTGCAAATGTATGGAGCAGCTTAAGCGATTTTAGCACTTTGAATAGACGTAGATAGAGGCAGCTGTCGAAGGCACTAATTTTCGCCGACTCAACTTTTGACTTCAACGACTAAAAAATTTACAAAAATCATTTCTCCACTCAAGCTATTTTTCGTTAGTCCTTAAGAGGAGAAGGATCTTCTCCTATCAGATGATGTCGAACCTGCTCGCAAAGCTTTTCACCTTTTGAACAAAAATTCCAATTAAAAAACGCACTTACTTATGGGCCAACCCAATAGCATGTCCGCTCTGAACCGAATACACCATGTCGGCTATATCAACACCATTACCCTCTATGAAGTGGTAGTACGGGGCGTTGATCAAGTGCGTAGATGAGAGAAAAGCCGGGTATTAGTTGAGTTTTGAAAATACTGGAAGAAGGTATGGCGGCAAGGCATGTCCGTCAGCGAAGTCGGTCGTATAAGAAGCGTACGTTGGAGGCCGACACTTGTCAACGTACTGGACCACTGATTAAGAGTATGGGTCTATGCACAAAAAAAATAAGAATCAAGTGCTTGAGGGCACGCTTAGCTCTCGAAAGGATTTTTCTTCTCCAGTTTTTTCCCGATCTCCAAACTCTGAAATGAAATTTTGCAGCAAGTTCACCATCTTGAGTTCGGCCCGTCCATTTCGAGAAACTTTCCCCCATTTCACCGTCTCACTCCCTGTGACCTCATTCCTTTTTCCGGGCCTATTATGCACAACGATCCACAGATTTCTGACTTTAGCTCCAGCTCCATTCTACACTTCAGTCAGCAGAGAGGATGGCTTATACACTTAGTTTTTTGTGTCTTCAGATTAGTGTATGGTCACTGTATTATTTTCCACTTGAAGGTGCCACACGATGGCATTTGGATTGACATGAATGAGCCAGCTGTTTTTGGTACTAATGAGAAAAAGCCATGGTATTTCGACGCAGACCATGCCAATACAGCGCCACTCATGTGTCCAAGAACCTCTGTCGATGCGGAATGGGAAACGCCGCCTTACGAAACACGTTCAGTCTATGGCTACGATGCCTACGACAAACCTGTAAGTTTTGACACAAGTTTCACAAATCAAAAGAGCCAGAGCTCCTGTTGACACTTTGCCGACATTTCTTCGCGCAATATTCAAATCCAGTTTCTTCTTGTTCCGAATCGAGCTTTCGTCAAAAAGGGGTGGTATGCACAAAAGCGTGACAAAAGCTCCAGGCAGAAATTAAAGGAGGTACAGGCCAAACAGGGAAAGTCTAAAAAGATCATAGGTGACCATCGAGTTGACCAACATTGTATATTAGTACACTATGCGAACCACACGCGGAACACTTTCGTGATTACTCCACGGCTGAGACACATGAGTCCAACGAAAACTCAAAATGAGCACTTAAAGAGCTACGTATCGGTTTCTTGTAATTGGCAAGAAGTTTTTTTCTTGAGAGCTCCTGGAATATAAACTGGAAATCAGTACCGATATCCACCTAGAATAGCTTTGGGAGATGACAGCAGCGATGCGAAAAAGGTTACGGAACGAGTACAGTTTTCCTGAAAGTGTCTTGCCCTATGTTACACGAGCGAATATCCATCTTCCGTAGGAATTGAAATGAAATTCTATTTCACAGCCACCACGTCTCCATCAAACAATCATCTGCTCCGGTTTTTGGGGTGTCATCAGAAGGCAGAGATAAAAACTGAGCTTTGAAAAAAAAATCTCGTCAAACTCTCCGGTTGTCAGCTTCGTTCGTTTGGTGAGGAGCCATCCAGCTTTTGCCTAACAAATGGCCTCATACGATTTACCGTTAGGAGATAAAAACGTTTGAAAAAGTGCAGAAATGAGGACAACAATTATGGGGCCAACCATTAGGTTGTTGAGAAACTCTACTGGTTCGCGGCTGCGTGTTTTCGTCTTTTTTTTCAGCCACCAATAGATCGTGGGATAGGTAGCCTAACAGCTTACCGTTAGAGGAAAGACCGCATGCAAAAGCGTCCCACATATATGCTCCGACATGCTCTCTATTACCATAGCTGAGCGAATGGTGCCATATCAGACGAATATTCGAACAATATTCGAAAATAATCGAAGACGAATATTCGAACCATTATCCCTACCCTGC